TGGGAAGGTCAACTAAAGGGTTTGGTTGTACAACTGTGTTGTCGGGCACATGAGGAATCATGGCCAATGACATTCAACAGCAGGGACAAGATAGTGCAAGCAGCAATCTCCAGAGATAGCACGTGTCACCAAGCCTTTGCCTTTTGCCTTTGAGCAGTGTTGAAGGCGTGCCTTCACGACAGCACGAGCACACTGAAACCCAGCTCGCTGCCGCAGACAAAACGCAGCGCCGGGAGAACTGCTCCTGTGGGTTTCTGAGACTGACTCTCAGGGGCAGAAAGAAAGCCTCTGCTTTCCCACGCAGAGTGGCTGGTGGTTTGAAATGGCTGACTTGTGCCCCGTGTGCAACCTACTGCACCACCAGAGAAGTGCCCTCACATTTAGGGAGTGAGACAAAGCCAGAGGCTGGAGCTTGTGAGCCCCAAGCAGTCGTGCTCTGAGGATCCTGGTAGCCTAGCCTCCCGTTGCCTTAAGTCATGGTGGACTCTCTCTTCTTTGGAAATGCAGCTCCTTTCAGGCATTACTCCCCCCACCCCCACCCCGAAACAAGCCCGTCGAGTTTACATGAAATCTTTGCTGTGGCAAATAACCTTCGTCCTAGTCATCTTTTCCAGTGCTTCAGGAAAAGCACTCATGACACTTAGGCTGGCCCTTGGTGCTGCGCCTTGCCTCGAATGGCGCAGAAGTCCCCACTCACTTCCGAACGGTTGACCCGGAGTTCTTCGTCCTGGTTCCCTTCACTTGCCCCGTGAAGTCATTGTGTTAAACGATCTCACGACAGTCAGGCTAATGGGCATCTAGCTTACCGTCTACCCAGATTATCGATAGCCTTTCCATTTCAGTCATTTCACCTCCACGCTGCCCGTTACAGATCGTTGTAGCTTTTGTTGGGACAGAGCCTCTCACTTGCTCCGTTATTCTCATTTTATCCTTTCTTGTGACTGTGTGACTGCAGGGACCAGTGGTGTGTGTCAGCTCCTTCTGATTGATTCAGATTTCCACTTGGTTTTCAGTCGCTATGGTTGCCCTCAGAAAGGGAAAGGTGCACAACATCTTCCTTGAACCACTGAAGCAGTGGAGCATTTTCATGGCATTTCGTGTGTTTGTGAGTGTGAACATGTGTTACACTCCAGGTTTTGATACCGAAGGCTTTATGGCAGGGCGTTCTTAACCTGGGCCTGACTGTAAGCCTCCCACTTACCATTCGTTACCAGATACTCTGTCCCCCCGGAGATCAGCTCTCTCTGTATGTAGATTATTTCAAATGGTGTTGGTGGTTAGTTGTAAAAGAGTATCTAAGTCTAGATCAATTAAAGGAAAATTAAAGACACCCACCTGTGGGGGAGCCCTGGTGAGACGTTGGGATAACCCAGAGGCCCACAGGGTAAACCCACCCACTGCTTGTCGGGAGACAGCGGCGGCTGCCTGCCACATCTTCACAGCCACTAAAGCCCCGTGGGACGAGCGGTTCCAGCCTGCCGAGTCAGGATCAGCTCAGGGTGTCAGTCGGCAGTCGGACGCTTTCATGTGTGCTCATTTCTCCTCCTTTCAGTCACTCCAGTAATGCATGTTACTTTCCTGCTTTCAGAATGCCTTCAGATAGCGCACATTGCGTGAGAGTCCTCCGTCACCACCTGAATCCCTTTCCATTGCTGACAGCTGGGGTGGCGTCCCCTCCGAGCCAGAGTAGCCGTGTTCTGCCGGTTTACTGCTCACGCTCTCTGACACCTTTCCAAATGCCACATAAACATTGATGATTCCTTTACTGAGACTAGTGTAGGCTGAGTGGAACATTCAGTGAAGTTTTTTTTCTGTATTTAACCATACCGTTCTACAATGGTGCCTTTAGTTGAAAGTGTTCACATCGTCTGTATAGAGTGGGTGTCATTTATCTCTGTCCCTGTTAGAATACTTGGTGAAGATGGTATGCTTTTCAGTCGGGTAGATTCAGGGAGCCAGGTGACTCAGCGTGGAGCTAGGCAATCAACAGGCCCAGAAAGTGAGTTGCAACACCAGGGAGCTCCGTCAGTCATTCGAGACCCAAAGAGCAGCATCCATCGACCCGAGGATGGAGCGGCAGACAGGGGCTCAGGAAAGAAGGAAGGATGGAGAGAGCAAACACGAGGAGTGAGAAATAGGCGGTACATTTCGGGGATTGGGATCCAGGTCACAAAGCAGGATGTGTAGGAGCTGTTCTATAGAAAGCCAGTGCCCTGTAGACATCCACCCTTTCTAAGAAAATGTTTACAAGTTTGTGTGTATGTGTTTGTGTCCATAAGCAGCTACTCATGGCAACGGAGCCATTTCCTTTTTGAAATGTCCCTAGGTCAAGCTTACAAGCAGCTAGTTTACGCTTAGGTGAAGAATACTTTAGGTGAGCAGTGAAAGGTATTTTCTTTTTTAATTTGCCTGTGTCTCGGAAAAGGTTTAAAACTTGTACTCAGCTGTGAAGGGCGGGGTGAACCAGAGGGGACTGAGAGACATTCCAAATAAGGGGAAAACATGAGGGAAGATAAGCAGATAGGCTGAGAGGAGAGAGGAGGGGGCATCAGAATGGCTCTCCGTGTGCAAGTTGGAGCGTTGTAAGGAAACCGTCAGAGGTGCTTGCAGTCCATGTGTCAAAGGCGTTTAAAGCCATATTAAGGGCTCTGGATGTATGTAGTTTGGTGTGCAGGGTGCAGGAGGAGCGGCTGGCTAAGGCGTCCCTGTATGAAGTGGAATACAAGGGACCGGCATTGGGTGGGATGGAAAAGAAGTGTGAAGGACCAAGGTGTGCCTGGGGAGTCGGTGTCGAATTGATGAGGTTTGGGTTTTTTTGGACATTACTGAAGTGTAATTTTGATAAAGCACCTCACCCATTTGCGGCTTACAGTTGGATGAGCTTTGATAAGTGTGCTTGGTGTCCGGCCCC